ACAAATTGTCTATAAATGGAGAAAGTTCAGCACTGCTGCTACTCTCCCTAGGACTGGCTGTCCTGTAAAGATGACTGCAAGAGCACAACGCAGACTGCTCAATGAGGTGAAGAAGAATCCTAGAGTGTCAGCTAAAGACTTACAAAAGTCACTGGCAAATGCTAACATCCCTGTTAGCGAATCTACAATAGGTAAAACACTAAACAAGAATGGATTTCCTGGGAGGATACCACAGAGGAAGCCACTGCTGTCCAAACAAAACATTGCTGCACGTTTACAGTTTGCACAAGAGCACCTGGATGTTCCACAGCAGTACTGGCAAAATATTCTGTGGACAGATGAAACCAAAGTTGAGTTGTTTGGAAGAAACACACAACATTATGTGTGGCGAAAAAAAAGGCACAGCACACCAACATCAAAACCTCATCCCAACTGTGAAGTATGGTGGTGGGGGCATCATGGTTTGGGGCTGCTTTGCTGCGTCAGGGCCTGGACGGATTGCTATCATAGAAGGAAAAATGAATTCCCAAGTTTATCAAGACATTTTGCAGGAGAACTTAAGGCCATCTGTCTACCAGCTGAAGCTCAACAGAAGATGGGTGTTGCAACAGGACAATGACCCAAAGCATAGAAGTAAATCAACAACAGAATGGCTTAAACAGAAGAAAATACGCCTTCTGAAGTGGCCCAGTCAGAGTCCTGACCTCAACCCGAGTGAGATGCTGTGGCATGACCTCAAGAAAGCGATTCACACCAGACATCCCAAGAATATTGCTGAACTGAAACCGTTCTTTAAAGAGGAATGGTCAAGAATTACTCCTGACCGTTGTGCATGTCCGATCTGCAACTACAGGAAACGTTTGGTTGAAGTTATTGCTGTCAAATGAGGTTCAACCAGTTATTAAATCCAATAGTTCACATACTTTTTCCACCTGCACTGTGAATGTTTACATGGTGTGTTCAATAAAAACATGGCAACATTTCATTCTTTGTGTGTTATTAGTTTAAGCAGGCTGTGATTGTTTATTGTTGTGACTTAGATGATGATCAGATCACATTGTATAACCAATTTATGCAGAAATCCATATCATTCCAAAGGGTTCACATACTTTTTCTTGCAACTGTACATACAAACAAACATATATACATACACACATACATACATACTGTAACGGAACCGCTGGCACCCTGACTGGATATCTTCCGCTGACGGATGCTCCTAGTGCTTTCCGAGGACTCCAAGCACTCTGCCGGACACCATAACCACTACAGACCCCACGAACTGCCGCAGCTTGGTTGGGGTCTCGCCGTCTCCACCCACTCTGGACCCAAGACTAGGGTCCAGCTTCCAGTTGGTCGACCTCTCTCAGAATTCCTGAGTGCAGGAACAGGAACAAGCTCTTAGCAGAGCTCAGTGATTATACCCTGGGGACTATAGTGATTATAGCAATTCCCAGAGTGTAGTTCTCCAATCCCCCAAACATGAGCCGAAACTTCATGAAGGTACAAGATGATCTGACTTTTAATGACCACATACTAGCTTTTATGCAAGTCCCCATGCAAGGGGACATCCCACAGGGTGGGACACAGTACAACCAATCATTTACAGGCAAACCATAAAACTCACCCAGCCCCAACATACAATCCCTCCTCTCTGCCTGTGATATAATTACTGAACACAATGGGTGAAAGTAATTATCACAGGCAGGAAAAATACACTTTTTATACATATACTGTAACTTTAAAAATATTCAGAATTCAGAATCAGCATACTTTTAATATAAACATAACCAAAAATCAGACAAATCCATCCAGGGGTTAAAAAGTTAGCTGGGAGTCCTTTATGACCGACCGCAAGCACATTTTCATGCCCAAAACAGTTCCAGAGAATCAGGCTGTGCGGTCGGTCTATTTCCCATGTTAAAGTCAGTTCAAACAGACGAACGACAACCATTCGAATTGTCGAACTGTCGAATGAACTGTCGAATGGTGTTCGAACTGTCGAATGCATTGAAGTCTGGAGAAGGTAAAACTTCAGCTGAATTAAAGATGGCCACCGCCACGTGTTCGTTTGTCAAATGGCGGCCACTTCAGCACTTCGGCTGCATCCGAAGTGCCAATTTAAAGCTACAGAACTGCTCCAATACAATTTAAAGAGGCAGCAAGTCTTTTAAAATCCAATCTGCTAAAATAGTCTTCAACAGGCAATATCTTCTAGGGGCCATAGTCTTAAAGGGGCATTGTTCCCAAAAGTCACAGTATGTCCCCAGATGGTTCATAAAGGGCCAGCATGGTCCAATACAAGTCCATAAACCACAGTGCAGTTCTTAAAGGGCCAACAGCAGCACAATATAAATCCATTAGCCCAAATAATGTTTGTAAAGTGCCATACAACCCAGGGCCATAGTCACAGGCAGGAGGCTGGCACTCAGGCTCCTCCAACAGGGAGAGGCAAAGGGCAACTTGTCAACATACATCCAGACACATACATACAAACACACACGCTCACACAGAGACACAGTTGAGTCTTACACTCACAATTCACTTTGCTTCTGTAAGCTGAAAGGCAAAATCCCTAATGAGACAGAGAGGGTTATTTTTCTAGACCCCCTTCATACTTATTACATCAACTAGGCTTAAGGTTAATTTAATCCAAACACATGGGGTGGGCGACAGCACTGTAAGATGCAAATACAAACATACAAAATAAGTTATGGGTGGCAGCAATGTCCACAGTATTCATCATCCAAAATAAATCAGCCCACACCAGAGTTCAGCCTCTTCTCTCTGAGGATCCAGAGAAGGTAACTTCCTAGGTATGCTGCATTTAGTGACCGGGGTTTGATATATACGCTCTCCTGGTGGTGATGGCACATGGATTTTAGGGTGCTTAGGGAAGCCTCTAGTTTAAGCAGGTTAAACTTAATTTTGTATGATTGTATTTGCTTTTGTATTACACAGACATGTAACAGTGGTGCTGCCCATGCCATGTGTTCCTTATTAAGGGTTAAAAAGTGTGTAGGTGACCCTCGAACATAGGTATGAGCGGATTGAGGAGATTCATTCAGCTGAGGCTATCCGGGCATCCAGTGGCGTACACATGACCCATGGGGCCCCGGTGCGAAAATTGATCCGTGGGCCCCCCTGTCTCCCCACGCTAACTTTGCGTGGGCCAGGGCCGCAACACATGGCGGCGGGCACCTGGTCGCAGGGGCGACCGCGGTATGTACGCCAGTGCATGCAGATGCACACACACTTAAAGGACCATTACAGACACCCAGATCACATCAACTCAATGAAGTGGTCAGATTATCAGGTCCCTCTAGTTTAAACCCTGCAGCTGAAAACATAGCAGTTTCAAAGAAACTGCTATGTTTCACTGAGGGTTAATCCAGCCTCTAGTGGCTGTCTCACTGACAGCCGCTAGAGGAGCTTCCACGATTCTAAGACACTGAACTTCCATAGGAAAGCATTGAGTTATGCTTTCTTTTGGGCGGTTTGAATGCGCGCGCGGCTCTTGCCACGCATGCGCATTTGGAGCTGAGAGGCGGAGGGATCCCCAGCGCCAAGGGAGTCTGGCGCTGGAGAAAGGTAAGTGCTGATGACACACACACACACTAGCTAACAGACACACACATTTACTGACAGAGACACACTCAGTGACAGACATACATACACACTTACAAAACATACACTCTCATTGACAAACACACACTCACTAACAGACATCAAACAGACTCAGTAAAACACACAGTAAAACACTCACTGACACTCACTAGCAGACACACACACTCTAACACTCACACTAACACGCACACTAACACACACACTCACACTAACACTCACATTAACAATTTTTAAAAAAAATTTAATCCCCCCAGCCTCCTTACCTTTTGGAGTGCTGGGGGGGATTCCCTGGGGTCCAGTGGTGCTGCTGTGCTGCTGGGCTCCTGGGCGGGCTGTCTGGGTGGCCAGCGCGCGAGGGAGCACACTCCCCTGAGTGCTTCCTCTTCAGCTCCCTCACGCGCCGCGTAGGGATGCCGGCGCCGGAAGATGATGTCAGCTCCCTTGGCTGGCTGGCGGGGGGACTCTGGCCGCTCCTCGGATGCCCAGGCAGAGTTCCAGGCCGACGTGAGGATTTCCCCCTTGTCGGTTGGGGGGACTCTGGCCGCTCCTCGGATGCCCGGGCAGAGTTCCAGGCCGACGTGAGGATTTCCCCCTTGTCGGTTGGGGGGACTCTGGCCGCTCCTCGGATGCCCGGGCAGAGTTCCAGGCCGACGGGCGGTTTTTCCAGGCCGACGGGCGGTTTTCCCCCTTGCCTGTCTGCCATCCGGGACTGCTCTCCTCGACCTCCCTGTGCCCCTGGGACTTCCCTGGGCAGGGGAAGGGGTGCCTGCCCCGGTGACCGCGCACCCCTAGTGGCGCCCCCCGGTGGACGGCGAGGGGAAAGCGTCGCCCGAGCGAGTGAAATCTTCTAAGTCCCGCGAGCTCCAGGCCCGTCGCGTATGAGGTCGGAACTGCCCCTCCGTGTCCAGGCGCCACTTCCACGAGGTCGGACGCCCTTCCGGGTTTGTCCCCCTGAGTGACGCGCGTGCATAAAGTGCATGGTAATAGCCGGGGGCACCCTCGAGGAGATTGTCGAGGAGCGAAAATTTCGAACGTCGGTCGGGGGACTCTGGCCGGTTCTCCGATGCCCAGGCAGAGTTCCAGGCCGACGGGAGGTTTTCCCCCTCACCCGTCTGCCATCGATGCCGTTCCTCCTCGACCTCTCCCCGGGGCCCTGCCCCACCCCACCCCACCCTGCTCCCTTCTCCGATCGATCTGGCTCCCCGAGCCCGAGCGGGGGAGAGGCTTTCGCTCAGGCGGTCCCTGGCGGCGACAGGCGAAAAGCTCCCTTTCCCCTCCGCCTCCGGCGCGGTCGCCCTCCCCGCCCGTCGTCGACCTCCGGCTGAGTTTGCTCCCAGGCCCCGTCTAGAAGCAGAGCCCCGAGACCGCGCGCGGCGGAGACGTGCGCCCCTTCGGGGGCGTCCAGTGCGGCGACGCGACCGATCCCGGAGAAGCCGTCGGGAGCCCCGGGTAGAGTTCTCTTTTCTTTGTGAAGGGCAGGGCGCCCTGGAACGGGTTCGCCCCGAGAGAGGGGCCCGCACCTTGGAAAGCGTCGCAGTTCCGGCGGCGTCCGGTGAACTCTCGCCGGCCCTTGAAAATCCGGGGGAGAGGGTGATGCGCGCCGGGCCCTTCCCGTGGATCGCCCGAGCTGCGGCGCGCGCCTCTCCCCCGCGCCCCCCTCGCCCCCCCGCCGCTGCGCACCCTCCCCTCGCGGGGACGGGGGCCGGGGGCCGGCACGTCGCCTCGGCCGGCGCCTAGCAGCTGGCTTAGAACTGGTGCGGACCGGGGGAATCCGACTGTTTAATTAAAACAAAGCATCGCGAAGGCCCGAGGCGGGTGTTGACGCGATGTGATTTCTGCCCAGTGCTCTGAATGTGAAAGTGAAGAAATTCAATGAAGCGCAGGTGAACGGCGGGAGTAACTATGACTCTCTTAAGGTAGCCAAATGCCTCGTCATCTAATTAGTGACGCGCATGAATGGATGAACGAGATTCCCACTGTCCCTACCTACTATCTAGCGAAACCACAGCCAAGGGAACGGGCTTGGCGGAATCAGTGGGGAAAGAAGACCCTGTTGAGCTTGACTCTAGTCTGCAACTGTGAAGAGACATGAGAGGTGTAGGATAAGTGGGAGGCCCCCGCTCCTTCGCGAGCCACGGGGCGCCGCCGGTGATTGTTTTTTCACTTACCCGGTGAGGCGGTGTAACCGTTCGTACTCCAATTTACCGATATAACGTCTTATAACTTAGAATTTAGCAGGGCTAACCATACAGATATCTTAGCTAAATATTGTATAGTCGGTATAGAGTTTCTCTATTTAAAATACATAAATAATTGAGAATACAATAAAAATAGGAGTTGGAAGCAATAACTTTTGTCTTATTAATATAGTTTATTGGATAAATGAATAAAGATTCATTAATATATCATAAAGCAGAGTATACAAGATTAAATGAATAAATGCTTGCAATATAAGGTAGTAGTATAACATACCCTCCTGATTATACAGGTAATCTCTCAGTATGTCACCTCCAGAGTCGGTCAGTATGTCTCTATCTAGCATTGATCTAGCATGTATATATAGTATAGCATTTCTAATTACTACTGGTAATGTATGGGTTAATTCATCTTAGGGTTAAAAGCAGTTCATATATAAAAATAAAGGAAAAAACACCCTTATCAGTCTAATGTCATAACCTAGACATCTTTAATCTGTATTTGGACTAGAAGTTAGGTTGACATACACCTTAGGGTTAAGAGAAGGTCATATATAAAAAAATAAGTCTAATGTCATAACCTAGACATCTTTAATCTTTATTTGGACTAGACGTTAGGATGACATAGGCAAAGCCTTGAATTGTTATTGCATTAAATTAAGACAAGATGGAGTAAACATGTTGTGTACTGTAAATAGGTAAAAGGTTATTAGTTAAAGAAACAGTTGCAGTTTAAAGAAATACGATGTAGCAATGTGTATTATACCCACAATTGCCCATCACACCCTCCTGTTTAAACTGAGGGTTTCTTTGAAGAATATTTTTTCTTTCTTTGCTTAACACCTCCCTGCTCATGTAAGGGAGGGGACTGTGGTGAATAGGACACAGTGGAAGGGACAGAAATGAAACAATTACAATCATATATACCTGTGTGATTGCACATTATGTCATCGTGATCAGTACGTAAATAATAAAATTCACCTGGCATATAATGTGTTATGTCATTTTGAGTAAACTCTTTTCTCATGTCAGTTTTCCAAATTCCACCCCAGCATTTATTAAAATTTCGTGTACACACCATAACTGTTGTGATCCCATATGCACCATGAGAGACAATCTTAATATGACCAATATCTTTGATTAAAGCATATAGCTGGAATATCTCTTTAGCTCGATCCATGCATTTAATGGATGGTTGATTGTAGTGAGTCAAAAGAGCTGTTGTCTGACAAAAATTTAAGAAGGTCATCAAATCCCTCGGTAGTATATTCATGGCTGGATCCTGAAAGGAGAAGCATGTCAAAGTCATCAATTGCCTGTTGTAATCCAAGTTTCTGGGGTGCATTTCTGGTGGTGGTGATTGTTTTGGAGCGTCTGGATACCGAGTTAGTATTGGTAGCAGGTATTCCTTTAACATCATTGGTTGCCATAAGGACACTGGCACCTTTGCTCTTGGTGTTTGTCTTTGCATGTTTCCTCTTCTGTGATACATTTTTACACCTCCTATAATGTGTATAGATTGGATATATGTAATGATAATTGTTCTGATATTTCTTTATAGAAACAAAACCTTTGTTAGGTCTAAAGATATATGGGTTATTGGAATCAGCAAAATAGTTATGGCAATTCCTACATTGGTATTTAAAATAATATTGTCCTGGTACAATTTCTTTAAAAGTTAAGATTGCTCTTTTATGCAAAATCTCTCTAGATCTTTTTGGTATAGTTGATAATTGAAAACATGTAGAAATGAATTTATTCATGTTTCTTTGCCCTGTGAGGGAGAAAAGAAATGATTCTCCAAGTTACAATTAGTAAAAATATAATAATTATAGTTATCATTATTGGTTTCAAATACCAGAAAATACTAAATCCTGTTCCTATTACCCCTTTAACAAGATTCGCTAAAGATTCAGCTATGCTTTGAACAGTTTTACCAATTGAAGGTAAAATAGGAGTCAATATCTTACCAAGTTCTTTCAGCCAGTATGGGAAATCTCTCTCGTGGTCTTGAATATTGAGAAGAGAAAGCCTAACTCTTATTAATATATCTTGCACTTGCTCGTGGGTGGAGCATAAGGTGATTTTGAGTTGTTGTAAGTGAGCCAAGAAAGCACTCATATATGGAAGTTTTAAAGATATTGGGGGTATGTGTATTTTAACGATATCTGTTAGTTTATAATTTTGTAAAGGAGGTTTTAACAATCTTCCATAACAGTAAATGTCATAATCCGTGGTTACAATTAATGGCTGTAAAGCAGGTAACTTGCAATCTGAATAAGGACTCATAATTAAATAAGAACCATTTCTTAAAGATTCAAAGTACAGATAATCATTTTGTATTGGTTCTATATTAAGTAAGCAATCAGCTGATGTGGCAGGATTATTTCCACAAGGAGTCTGTACTTTGACATCTTCACATATTACATAACTTTTTTCTTGGCATCTAGAAACAGACAAATAATATATCTGATCACATGTCTTTGATATATATTGATATGGATGTTGTATTGTTATCTTTGCCAACTTTTCACCTGTTTGTAACAGGTGACCTATATTATCAAGCTTCCAATTCGTGGTGTATATTTCACCTGGAAGAGTTAACTCATAATAAATTTTAGCTTCCCACTGGCTAACCTTGGCATTGTTTAAATGTTTCGTTTCTCTGATATCATAAACAAAGGTCTGAGAAATGTGCAATAACACTTCGATTTGTTTCTTAGTTAATTTTAACCTTTGAAGCACTTTAGTTATGTTAACCAGACTTGTATCAATTAAACCATTTTGTAAATTAGATCGAATATCAAAAATCTTCTGATTCAACATAGATATTTTCACACTTTCTTCTAGTGTAGAAATATCATATATTAATGCTGCAGTAAGCGTTATCAGGTGGTCTTTAAGAATCAATATACCTTGACGTAGCAATTCATCATTTAGATCAGAATAATGGGATACAACCTGAATAGCTTCTACAAGTAATTGGCCGGTATATAGGAAGGAGTTTGCATTGGTTAACAAAGTCCTTCTTCTGCGAGACACACGTCTCATGTTACATTCATCTGGATCACTATTTTGTATATTTTTATATGTAATATCTAAAAATGTTTTATTAGTAGGCCATGCTGCGATTGCAAATGGCATCTCTGCAACATTCTGTAAAGTACAATTCTGAAATTCACAAGGTCTATCTTCATTAGCGATTAAAACATACATTTGAGTTTTTATACCATTAATTACAATATCTGTATTATATATCATACTGTCACTGACACATTTCTGATACAGGGAGTATACTAAATAATTTGCATTAATACTTATCGGTTTCCTCTCGATGCACCACATTCCTGGAAGTCCAGAATATAGCAAAAATCCTTGGTCTATGTTTTTAGGGAGCCATTTAAAGTTCTGATTGGTATAATTATACCAGAGAGAGCAAGGAGCACAACGGTAGATTATATCTGGATTAGAACCATTACAGATTCCTTGTTTTATCAATGTCTCTGTAGTTATGTTACAGGAATTTCTTGCTTTGCAGGTATGTACATAATATGTGGAGTTAAGAAATGCTGCAAATCGGGGTTTAGTACAAGTGTCCCATGGGGTCAAGTCTCTAAAAAGCTTTTGTTGACCATTCATATTCCATTCTTTTGGCAATGCTTCTGCTTTTAATAGGCCTGTCTTATTGTTGCTCATCAACTGCTGCAAGGTTTCTTTCACTAATTGATGTATTTCATCTGAATTCAAATTCACACGCCACCATGAGTCATTATAAAGTTCATTACTACAGAATATGGTTCCAGTGTGGTTTCTCACTCCACCAGGAAATCTATATTCCTCTTCTTCTGCTCCTTCCCAGTAACCAATTTTTCTGAATTGTAGGTAAAAATCTGTGTCTTATACTGAGAGGTGCTTAAATAATCAATTAGGTATTCTTTGTACTGTATTCCATCTTGGGTAATACCTGGACGTGGACAGTGATCAGCCTTTATTTCTGATTCCGGCCATCTTCTGTTTGACTGGAAATTAACATAATAACAATGTCCAAAATTAGCATAGCACATCTTTTCAGCATAAGAAGGCTGTTTGCGATAGTCATCCAATGGTAAACTATATGGCAAAGTCTTTTCTTGAATCACTTTCATATGTGCATCCAAAGTTTCTTTGACAAGCATCTGTCCCGTCTCACTTTTAATTCCAGCATCTTTAGCCATCACTGCTGAGTCTAGTATTAGGATTTGAGATAGTCCAATCACTTGTTTCTTGTGTATAATTGGTTTTGGGTATGGTTTCCAATAGGTTCCTTGTGGAATACCAGAATACGTCACATTGGCGATTACTTCGCTGTGAATTGTGTCTCTTTTCATAAGATGGTTCCTGGAGGTCATCCTCATGATCATGGAACTTGTATTGTATGCAGTCCAATTCAATACGGGAGCTTCTTGGTTGTTAACATAATCCCAATGCAGTTTCAAAACGACTACTAGGGTTGATGTTATCATGATAATGCTGCAGATAGTAATAAAGAGACACCACATCCAATTCTTCAGTATCCATTTGCTTCCATCTTTGCACTTCTTTCTTACTGTGTTCCATACTTTATGTAAAGTCTGTTTTTCTGGTAATGATGATTCATGTTCCAATTCTTCCATAGCAATTGTAAATATGTCATTTTTTGTTCGTAGATCCTTCTCCTTTGCATTTTCAATTATCTGATCATGAGTTGGTCTATTGCGAGGCTGTGAGATGGGTTGCTTTTCCATCCTCTTTTGTGTTTCTCTTGCTTCCTTCGACAGTATCCACTGTGTCAGGGTCAATGGTTCTGTGGACATCTTGGAAATACTTTGCTGGTTTTAAATTATCAATGCTTACTGTTCTCTGTTGGCCTTGTTTGTTCTCCGTAATAAAAGTTCTCGGATTTAAAATCGTCACGATTTTCACAGGCTTTTTCCAGCGTG